GCCTAGCCGAGCTACAGTTCATGCACAGACCTCCTTCCCCAAGGGAGCAGGACCAGGAGTGTGCCTGGGGGAGGCCAGCAGAGGTAGTACTGTGTGAAGCTAGAGCAAGCAGGAGGGGCCGACCAGGGCTCTCCATTGTGGCCTCCCCAGGGCGTGAGGCACTGTGAGCAGCTGATGCAGCGGCTACATCAGGCAGGTCCTCCCCCTTGGCACCCTCTAGAAGTTCCTGTAGCCCCCTCCCACCGCTGGGGAAAGTAGAATGTCACTCCTAGGACAGCAGGGCGTGAGTGTCCCATACATTGTCTTAGAGAAGCAAGATCCTCTCTCCTCACTCGAGATTATTTATCTGTTGGCCTATCCGTAGCCAGGAGCTCTATTTTGTTGAGACTTTTTTCAGAAGTAGTTTGCCTCATTCCTTTCCTCCTGGGCCTGCTCTTTGCTATATTGAGTCCTGTCTGCCCACTGACCTGATAATCCCCCTTCTCTTAATCTTGTGTTTATTGCGTTTTAGCCAAAGAAACTAGGATTTTCACATTTTGGAAATATAAGAAAAAAGAAGTTCGATGAATCAACGGACTACATTTGCCCCATGGATCCCAGTGACAGTACTGGTGACAGTCACAGGATCTACGGTGGCTACCGGGGCCTTAGCCCCCTTGATGCCCCTGAACTGGATGTGCTGGACCAGGTGGGACAGATAAGCTGATGGCCTTGTTACCTGTCCTCTGTGCACCCTGAGAGCTTCACAGTAACACCGCGTGTGTCACCATATAGCTGCACCTCACCCCCCGCATCTGTGCATGCCTCACAGAGAACGTTCCAGCTGCTGTGTACCCCCGGCCAGTCTCTCTTTGAACTTTGGGGGGTGGCCAGGGTATGGAGTTGTAACGGGCCGGCTTTGGGGACTGTTGCCAAAGGTGGACTCGGGAGGACTTTCACAGAGATGCTTGTGTATTTGTAGTCATTCTTAGTGGCCACCGTCAGCACCAGTTCAGCATGAAGCTGGACACGGGTCCAGAGGTCATGGACGATCCCAAGAGGCTCAGCTCTCGGGGCCCCCGGCTGTGCTTCCATCGAGGGGCACCCTCAAATGCCTCAGGCCTGTGGCCGAGATCCAGGGGATGGTGGCAGGGATTTCTGCCTCAGTGACAGCGTAACTGTGTTGTGCCTTACCGCGGAGGTGCTTGCTTCTTTCTGGGAATAAAGATGATATTTATGTAGGAAGCAAACAGTTCTGCTTGTCTTGACCTCGCCAGGGGAACAGAGCTGGGCACGGCTGGAGACAGAGTCCCATGGGTGGCCCAGCATGATGGCTGGTGGTGCTCAACCAGGCCTTGGCCACGTGCACACTCAGCGTTTGCCAAGTGTCATGGACGAGGGGGCGGGGGCCAGGAGGGACACCCCCATACCCTGTTTGCTCCAGGCTCCACCTCCCTCTGTGGAGCCATGGGGAACCTTGTGCTCAGTGACTCTAGGGCACATCTGTTGCGCAGACCCCAAAGCTGGTGTCCATTTCGGCGGCATGAGCCACCTAGGAGGTAGACGGGGAGACAAGAAAGCCGCCTTGTGGAAATAGCCTCTGTTCTTTTGTGTGGTTTGTCAGCTTCTCTGTTATTGACCTGGCTGGGCCCCTAACTGCTGCGGGGGTTGGCCTGTTGGCAGAACAGGAACTGCCCTGGCCTCCCGATTTAGAGGCTGGCTAACTGATAATGGCTCTTCCAGATGGGCCTTGTCTGGACGAGGACTGAGGGAGAGACACATCCTGCCAGTCTGGGTTCCTGCTCAGGAGATTCCAGGTTGCCCAGGGCAGGTTTTGGCCCTGCTGGGTCCCCTGAGCCCCATCGGAACTGTCTGGCGGCAGGGGCAGGGCTTGGTGGCCCCATCGAGGGCACTCTAAATCTGTCCCAGATGGAGACAATGCTGAGATTTGCTTCTTAAACTATCAGCAGCCCCAGGGATGGGCGATGACCTCCTGGCCCCGCTGAAGTCAACCACTGAGAACTGGATGGGCTCTCCAGCTGGCACAGCTGGTGTTTGATCCCAGTGCCCGGGACACTGAATGGCAGGTGCTCCTCAGGGCTGGTAGCTGGGTGTCACTGCTGTTGAGCCCCAGGGTAGGCTCTGTCCCTCATTTCCTACAATGTCCTGGGAAGAGTGTCTCTGCATGCACCTGTTTGCAAACCCTGCATGGGATTATGTAACTAAATCTCTGTGCAGCCTCAAGCGAGGCCTGTCACCCTTTGTGGGCCTCAATTTTTCCACCTGGAAAATGAGAGATTATACTTTAAGCCCTCAGAGGACACTTCTAAATCTCCAATGTCTATGTAGACTTAGGGAAGAGGGAGTGGACCAGCATTACCTGAGGAGTAGGAGGGGAGGTGAGGGAGGCTCCTAGCAGGGAGGAAGCTCTATGAGCATCTCCCTAAGGATGCCCACCCATACCGGTACTGGGGCATGGGCACATGGGGTCCTGCTGTCGCTGGGAATGGTCAGTGTATTCAGCATCCTGAGGCCTTCCTTCCCACTGTTTTTTGCTCCTGGAAATAGCTGGAGCGCCAAGCACGTGTGGAAAGGCTGCTTCTGACAGGCCGTGTCTGCCCTTCTCCTGTGCACCCTCCGTGTTGGTGCCAGGGTGGGCCTCGGGATACTGGAAGCTCCGCCCTTCCCCAAGACAGAAACAGCATGTGCTTTGCCCACCTGTCACTCCTCAGGGCCTGGCCTCCGCTCTCACCCACTCCCCCAGGACAGGACTTGCATGCCATCCCTGTGAATCACAAGCTGACTCCACGTGTGCTGACCAGGCTGCTGCCCGTTTTACAGATGGCACCTTCGGAAGGCACCGTGACGCAGATAGGGCTCCTCTCCCAAGACATTCACCGCCTCACGGTAGGATTCTGACCCTCTCTCCACAGTAGACCAGGTGCCAGGGTGACCCCATGAGTCTGGTGTAGTGGTGCCAAAGGCCTGAGATACCCTCCCCCTTCCCCCAGTCCCAAACCTGTGTCATCAGTGCCTCTGCTAGGAATTTGATGGGTGGTGCTGGGCCCTGTGGCCTGAGCTGGAATCAGCTCTGAAGTGGAAAGCCTCCCAGAAGCTTCCATTGGCCTGCTGTGCTGCTGAGCCTTGAGCTGGGACTTGAGCTGCTAGGGGCAGTGAGAAAGAAGGGTCATGGGCCTTGCGCTGAACCCAGCTGAAGCATGCCAGGTCTCAGTCCTCTCCAGGTTCAGGGCTGCAGAGGAAAGCAAGATGCTTGGCAGTTCTGGGTCACCTGCCTTGTGTAGCCCAGTGCCTGGGCCTCCTCTCTGGCCTGGTGGACACTGCTCCGGCCTCTCTGCCCATGAGACACATGTAGTTTATGCCATGCCTCTGGCCTGATGGATATCACGGGCACATGGATGCATCTGGTGTGCCTCGTAAGGAGGCGGAATGGTGTCGGTGAAAGAAGCCTCTTTGGAGTGAGGCCAGCATGGTTCAAGCTCCTGCTCTGTCTCTTACTAACTCTGGGACATCAGGCAAGTCATTCTCTCTCCCAGCCCCGGCTTAGTTATCTGTAAAGTGAGGCTAATATTAGCCTCCTGGCAAGGCTTACAGACCGACAACAGCCGGCAGTAAAAGACCAGCCACAGAGTAGATTCCCATTATTGAGGCCCTGTACCTTCCGATGCCTATTAGGTCCTTGATTGTCCTTGACGGTCCCACCACTGAGCCCACGGGCTGTAGCATCTGCCCATGTTGTGGCCTCTGTCACCATCCTTCGCTCACTGATCTCGGCACATTAAGAAGGCTGTATCCAAGGACAAGATAGAAGCGTGGGTGGGGGGGGGGGGGGGACAGTAGACTCCCTGAATGGAAATGGGATCATTTTTATTCAACTGGTTTTTCTTTTTTCTTGGCTCACCTACTAAAGTGAACGCACCCTACCTTGCCCTCATCACCACTAGTAGGCTTTGGGTGGTCTTCAAATAGCAACTTCACCTCTAAGGAGGCGTGAGCAGTGTATTGCCTTGATAGTGCAGTCTTTTCTGGTTTTGTCTGTGGGGTCCCTGAAACCCCATGAACTTGGAGGGTGCCGGCGTCAGACGGGACCACACCCAGGATCCCACTGCTTCCCACGTAGCTGCCGCAGGGCAGCCTTGACCAAAACCCTGTCCCACTGCCCCTTGGGCTGTGTCCTTTCAGACCCTGCTGAGCCAGGACCAGCTGCTGAACGACTCTCGCCTGGCCGCGCCCAGCTCGGAGGACTGGAGATGACTTTCTTCATGGCCGAGAGCCCAGAGAGGCACACGTGGGGGCCCCGAGTCTCGGCATCAAGGGGGAGCAGGCCCAGCCACCTGCAGGCCCAGACGGGCTGGCAAGACATCCCAGACGTGGCGCTGACCGGAGCGCGTAGAGCGGTGAACAGACGCCGGGAGGTGGCCCCAGGGGCCCTGTGTTTTCAACCGTGCTGTGCTGAGGGACACAGCTTTTTACCTTTTGTACTTTCATACGTGGACTGCACCCCACTTCTGGCAGGGGGTGGGGGTGAGACGTCGGCACAGACTCCATGGCTCCTGCTCTTCCTGGTGACATTTGGGAGGTTCTTACGCCAAAGGGGAAGGGCAAGGAGTTCATAAAAGCTCTGCTGGAAGAAAATTCTGAAAAAAAATGTTGGGCAGTCCCGGAGCGGCTGCGCGGGCTGCAGGATGGGAGCCCTCCCGGGCTGCGGCCACGCAGTAGGCCAAGGGGGCACCTCCGTTCACAGGACCCTGGCCTGGGGTCGGGTCTGGGTGAGCCCGGGAGGGAGCAGGGCCCCTCTCCCCTCGGCCCTGACCATCCGCATCCTACCCTCCTGTGCACCAGGGTGTCAGGTTGTCAGTGCTGCTGGGCCTCCTCAGTTGGGAGCAGGGGCGGGCACCCCCGGGCACCCCCACCCTCGCGCACCGCAGCTGGGGCTCCGCAGAGCAGTTGTCTGGTCAAACAGCTCCCCCCAGTGGATGAGCCAATGTTTCCACCACAACTGGCCAACACACAGCAGCCTAGGGTGGGGGGTCCCCTACCGACCCTCCCATTCTCCCCCTTGTGGGGCTGTCACAGCTCGGGCCTCCTCTCTCCTCTGCTTTCCAAAGCTGGTTCCTGCTTGCTCCACCACGTCCCCAGCTGCTCCCCTCTGTCCCAGAGTGGCCTTTCCAAAGCACTGCTTTAATCCCGTTACCTTTCTAAGAACTCAGTTCCAGAATCCAGAGAGGACTCTGGATTAGCCTTAGCTGCACCCACAGCCCTTCTGAATCTTCAGCCTCACGAACCCCCTGTGTAGCCTGTGTGCCCGCCTCCTCCTCGCTGTAGCAGGTCTTTGCCCCCTTGGTCCCCCCTTCACAAGGCCAAGTTCTGCCTGTCAAGGCCCAGCAAGACCCCGCTTCCTTCAGGAAGCCCTCGCTGATGCGTTGGCTGGAGGTCCCTGGGCCCCGCTGCGCTGTCTGCCCTTCAGCCCGGGTCCCTCCTAGGACCCCCTGAAGTAGTGTGCCTTTCTCCCTTCGCACAGCCACACTCAGCACACACGCACCGAGCACCTGCTGTGGGCACACTCCCGTACAGCCCGGAGTCAGAACAAACCCTGGTCCTCAAGCTGCCCAGGCACTCCATGCTGCCACGCTCCCCATCCCCTCGCCCCTCCGTGTGTGCAGGCTAAGCGTGTTCCATGCTGGGCCAAGCAGAGCTGGAGATACAGGCATGAGTGTCAAGGTCCTTGTCAGAGGGTGCTGACAAGGGGTCGGGGGTACACCTCTGTTTCAAACAAGTGTGTGCTGAAAGTTACAGATGCTCCAACAGAAACTAGTTGTCATTTTTAATGGCGAGCTGGGGGAGGGGACAGGGAAGGCTTCCAGGAAGAGGGGCTATTTGGTTTTCAGCGATGAATCTGGTTCCCCAAGTACACCAGAGCGGGAAAAGGTGCTCCAGGCAAATGGCCTTGGAACATCCCAGTACATCCTAGCGAGTGCCCAAAGTTGCTAAGACTAGAGCAGAGTTTCCCAGCCTCCGCACCATTGTCACTTAGGGCTGGGTAATTTGTTGTGATGGCGCCTGTCTGGTGTGTTGTAGGATGGTGAGCAGCAGCCTCTACTCCCTAGACTCCAGCAACACCCCTCCTCTGGTTCTGATAAAAATGTCTCCAGATTTTGCCAAATGTTCCCTGGGGGACAAAACTGCCCCTCATTGAGAACTACTGGGGCCACAAAATGGGGTAAAAGTGGGAAGCCCAGGGAAGGAAAAACCTGGTGATGTCAAGCTGGAGTCAGATCAGGACAAGCCCTGTGAGCCAGGTCCCTGTGAGGACACGGGTGGCCAGGTGGGAGCTCGTGAAAGCAGGAGACAACGCAGGGGAAAATCTGTGTTAGAGAAAAACATGAGGGTGGGCTCTTACTCCTCATACTGTGCCCAGTGGAGTATCTTTCCCCAAGCAGGGCTTTGCTGAGGGTGCACTGAATACACAGATGGGTAAAGGCTTGCAGCCTCTCGCCCCCATGCACCCCTTCCTGCTGCACCCCATGCTCCCTCTGTGAGACCACCCATAGGCAGGGCACAGCTGCACTCAAATGATTTCTCTAGAGCTGGCTCACCCTCTTCTGTGCCCCTCACACATGCACGTGCACACATGCACACACCCAGTGACACCCACTGCAGCAACAATACTACAATACCAGTTATTGCGGAAAGGGAATGACTTGGAATTAAATGCCCAGGTCTGAACCCAGTTTCTCCACCTTCTGTTGGAATGACCTGGGGACAATAGCTTCATCTTAGAGCCTCTCCTCAGCTGTAACTTGGAGAACAAAATCCCCACGGAATCTCTGGCTTGTTATGAGAACGAAAGGAACTAAAGTGCAGGAAGCGTTTACCTGCTCCCAGGTAACGGAGCAGCGCGTCAGCCTGGCAGCGGACAGCCAAGGACGTGGTGGTCATTGTATCGCTTGGGTTTAGCAATGGGAAGAATTGCGGGAATAACTCCTGGAGCCTAGTCTCATTTGCAGGTTCAGATGCTTCTGTGCTAACCACCACCCGCTGCCAGATCAGAACAGGACTTGGCATTCAGAAGCTGCTAAGAAACCCAGGGCCCTTGCTTCCCTCTGTTGTGCAAAGCACAGGGAGTCCAGCATGGCTGGAGCCCGCCCGCCCTGTGGATTCGCGATGGCCCTAATGCCTCTTAACACCATTCCCATTTCAAGGGTCTCCTACAAAAGAAGGAAGAGTCCACATGGAGGGTGCCCGGGCCCTCTGGTAGGTCTGACTTTAGAACACTCTGGAGAGGGGAGAGTTGAAGAGAGTTACTGGGAGTTGACATGACCCCACTTGGGTTCTTCTGGAATTTTCTGCTTTTGCCAGTTCTGACCTCCCTGGGACACACAGAAGGCTGTTCCCACGTAGGGCTGGCCAAGGCCCTCCAACTGCTTAGCTGGACCCCCACAGAGCCACATGTCCTGAGCTATCTGCTTTGTCCCGAAGTTGATTTCATTACACTTTGGGGAAAGACACTGAAATGGAATCCCTTCAAGCCTCCCAAGCTAGGAGGCCTCTGAAAGCAGTCTGCTTCCAGCCCCTGAATGCTGCTTAGGCCCACGCCCAAGAGAGGAGCCATGTGCCCCCGGTGCATTACAAGGCACTTGTGAACACATCCCTGTTTAATGCGGTGAGGCGGGACTCACTCTGAAATAGATGAAAGGGACCAGGCAAATTTGCTTGGAACAAGGAAGGTATTAGTAAGTGAAAATCATCTCCTTGGTATAACCCAGTTTCTCCAGGTTAGGATGAGCAGCTGTCTGGATCAGGGGCATTGGGCCACACACCAGGATGAGCGTGGACTGCCCTGGAGGAGGGAGGTGCTCCTTGATCATGTTGGCGGTGATGTAGCCTGAGCTGTACTTCCAGCCTGAGAGTAAGCAATAGTAGAAAAAAGCTGTGAGGGTGCCGGGTGAAGCCCCTGACCCCAAGCCTCCTGCCACCCCCCTCCCAAAGAAGGGAGGCAAGGCTGCTCTCCAACATTTAGAAGTCTACACTGTTGTTCTCTGCAGAGAAGCGGGGAAGTTGAAGACGCGAGAGGCCCAGGAAGCTGTCTTCACTATGGACCCCAAAGCCCATGCTCACTCTGGGACTCTGAGTCCCCCAGGTGGTGGTGTCTGATGCACCAAGCATGGTCAGGGATGGAGGACACTACAGTGAGGTGCGGTGTGAATCAAGGCCTTGAGTTCGGACTGTGCCTGGTGGAGCAGGCCTCGGGGCTTGTGGCTTGGTTGGGGGGGCACCCTCTTCTGGGCAGTGAGCTATGTGACAAGGCTGGCACAGCTCACGAGGTAGGAGGGGCAGCCATGGAAGGCACAGGGCATGGGTTGCAGCTGGGTGCTGGCTAGGGTTGTAGCAGTGGGCTGGAGCTCAGCATATGAGACTGCTGTCCAGGAGAGGCTGGGTGGTAAGGGGGCATGGGGTCCATTGCCATATTAGATGCAGGGGGTGTGAAATCTCTGGGATGCCATGTCGAGTGTAGCATGGAGTCCTCAGTGTCCCTCGAGAACCTCCCGAGGTTCAATGTGCATATGGAGTGTTGCTGAGCTATCACACGCCTGCCCTTGATGGCTCTTACAAGCAGGTTGTTCCAAATCCTCTCTCCCTCAAGTTCCCTCCATTTCCTGTGCGGAGACAGAGCCAGGAAAGAAGGTCTCAGCTCCCCCTCCCCCCCAGCCCAGTCCTAAGAAGCAAACAAACCCAGGGACTACTTCCTGAGGTGGGTCAAGGGTTGGAGCTAAACCACAATGGGGACAACAGGGAACGTACCAACAGGAGGCCTGTCCAGGGTGTACCACAGGTCAAACTGGTCCGGATGAGTTCTGGCAACTTCTTCAAGCTCCCGTCTCACCAAGATATCCTCCTCTGTCTAGAAAAGAAGCCCCATGAGCAAAGCCCCACCAGGGCTGGACCACTTCTCCCCACACTGGGCACCTGGGCCAGCCCATTTCTGCCCAAGCTGCCCCCACTCAGTGGGAGTGCTCTCTCCCCACCCAGAACTTCTAGGGCAAAGGTTCTGTGGCAGCTCCTGCACCACCAGCCCTCTTTCCTGTGGGTGGAGGAGGTGGGAACCTCCCGCAGAGGTGATGACTGCCTTCCAGCTGGAAGACCAGGCAGGGCAGCCTCACTCAAGGTTCCCAGCACCCCGCCACCCCATCTACACTGAGCACCAGGTATGTCCACCCGGCTGGAACTCAGATGGAATCAGCCTCGTGTGCGCCCGGGATCTTCTGTGAAAAGTGCAAGCGGTGAAGGTGGTAACATATGAGGTACCACCTAACGGAACAGCACTGGAGAGCTAAAGCAGAGGAACACAAAGGTTGGAGCTTCATTTGGGGAAAGGGAGCAAAAACCAAAGAAACTTCTCAGGAGCTCAGAGGTACTGCACAGAGGACCTGGATCTTAAAACTCTTCACGATTCTTAATGCCAGCAATTCCACTTCTGGGATTCTACTTAAGAAAATAACCTAAAAGGACAAACAGTGTATGTTCTCATTCATTTGGGGAATATGAATAATAGTGAAAGGGAATATAAGGGAAGGGAGAAGAAATGTGTGGGAAATATCAGAAAGGGAGACAGAACATGAAGACTCCTAACTCTGGGAAACGAACTAGGGGTGGTGGAAGGGGAGGAGGGCGGGGGTGGAGGTGAATGGGTGATGGGCACTGAGGGGGGCACTTGACGAGATGAGCACTGGGTGTTATTCTGTATGTTGGTAAATTGAACACCAATAAAAATTAATTTATTTTAAAAAAAAAGAAAGAAAATAACCTAAAAGGCAACAGGCCTAGGCAATATCATTCATTTGGTCCTTTACAACTGTGAAAACAGGAAAAAAAAAATGTGAATGCAGAAGTTAGAGTAAATTATGGTACAACTTGATACAGACAAAAATATAGAGTTTTGATGGGAAGAAAATGCTTGTGTGGTAATACTGAGTGAAAAAACAAAGCAATATATAACTAATTGTAACTATATGGCACGTATAAAGAAAAGACAGAAAAGATGTCGAATATTTATATACTTCCGTATTTCCTGAAATTTCTACTGCAGGCATCTATGATGTTATATGCAGAAAAACAGAACTACACATTAAGAAAGGAAGGCCAGCTTAGTTCATAGGGGGGTGGGGGAGACAGTTAAAAAAATAAATGAGAAATCAGGCCTGGACTTAAAAAAAAAAAACAAAAAAAGCCAAAAACAAGTGGGAAACCAGGCATAGACTCCTTCACTCCTTCACAGCCACCCCTGGCCAAGCCCGCAAAGCACCCCTGTGGCTACAGACACCCCAGCAGCTAGAGCTCAAGCAGGGGAAGGACAAATGCGAGGTGCCACTCAGCAAACATTCCAGCCTACCGCTCCGAGCTTGGGTTCCCTTGGGCAGAACTGACCTGGTTGGCAAAGATGAGAGACATCCTGGTCCTGTCGTTGGGGTTCTTGGTGATGTGGCGAATGAGCTGCAGCATGGGCGTGATCCCTGGAACAGCAACAGGCAGGACACAGCTAGGGGCTCTCCCCCCTCTCCGATGCCCACAAGCCCTGGCCTGCAGGCCCTTAACAGCTTCCTTAGCTCCAATCCTACTTTTCTCGTGCCTGCCCCCAAAGCTCAAAGTGGAAAACTGCCCTGCATTTTGGTTTTCCCTTCTAACACAACAGTAAGTCCAAAGCCCTTTCTCGTGTTCACGTGGCAAGATGGAAGGAGCACTGGCTCTGAACTGGCTGTGTTTCACACCCAGCCTCCCCACTTGCCGTCTGAGCAGGGTGAGTGCAGTGCCTGTCTGAGCTCTTTAGTGTCCATGTTTGTACAACAGAATTAATGACAAGTAAATGTGGTTGTTTTTAAAGTGCCTATTATGGTGCCTGGCACGTTGTAGGCATCCGTACACATTGGTTCTATTCTCTCAGATATTCATTTTCAAGGGATGAGGAGTATCAGGCTTGACCTGGATCCAAGAGCCCTTGGGGGACCATGTTTGGGCCTATTTGGCTTGATCCCCAGACCCTTCCATGTTCCCTGGCCTGACTTCCTGGGCCAGCCACCCTGTTGGGTCAGGGGAGCAGGGCACGTGGGGTCAGTTTCCAGGCCTGTCATCAACCCTGCACCTGCATCTAAAACAGCCATGGAAGGATCTCCTCTAGGATCAAATGACTCCAAAATTCCAAAGCCCCAGAAGCCTCTTACCTGTGCCCCCAGCGATCATTCCCAGGTGACTGACCAGCTTCTTTTCAGGCTCACTTGTTTTGTATGGCTTGATTGAAAAGTTCCCTGGAAACAAAGAGGACCCCTCTGACTTCTGGAGCTCTTGCCTGAAAACTTGCCAAAGATCACTGGCTCTTCTTGGGACTCCCCGGTGGAAAGTCCACTTGAGGAAGTGGCCACACCATTCTCAACCAGAGAAGCGAGTCAAGGTGGCCCCTCCACCAGCCCCACTGCCCTGGTGCATGAAGTGGAAATAGACCCTGGGCTTCCTTGAGGACTCACTGAGCCTCTTCTTCGGAGGGAGGAGGGAGGAGGGAGGCCTCACACAGCACTCTGCCACCGCAGTGAGTGAGCGAGTCAGTGGTGATGTGTGCATAAATAAACAAGTGTGGATGCCATCCAACCATCCACTGTGCAGCATTAGGAGGCACCTTTTATGTATCAGGCATCGTGCTGGAGATCCAGTCTCCATGAGGAAACACCCCAGCACTCCCCTGCCTTAATGAAGCTTACAATCTCATCAAGTGTGTGTGCTGTTGGTGAACCTATGAAGACCTAAGGACAAGTCCACAGGACCCAACCCTGAGAAGTTTTCTACAACAATGGAACAACCACAGGAATCTTCCTCCTTCCAGCAGGAGGCCCAGTGTGACACTCCTGCCCCCCCTACCTGGCCCATTATAGAAGAGGCGACCAGTTGGCCCTCGAAAAAGGATGGTGTCCCCAATCTTCATGTTCTCCAAGTACTGAGTCATCTTCCCCCCTTCTGGATAATTGGGGTGCACATTTTTGAAGTAGACCTGAAAAATAAGGCAGCCTGATTTTTATACCCTCAGACCTGAGACCACAGCTGCATACAATTCAAAATTCCATTTGCCACTGGAGAAAAAACTTGGTATTCACAGTTGCTCTAAGCACCCCTGAAGACTTCACCAAGTCATCAACTGCACAGTTAAATGACCCTTCTGGAAAGCCCTTCCCAGGGTATGTGTCCCTTCTCCACCCTACCACCTTTAATAGGTGTGTGAGGGTGAAGCAGCTGGACAGGGTGGGCCCCACTTACCTTTATAATCAAGTCCACAAAGCCTCGGTCATCATCACTGGACACAGGCGTGTAAGCCCTGACCACCATAACGCCATCAATTTTGGCCAAGAGATGGACATAGTTACCTACAGAAAAGGCCTCCAATGTTAAATCTGAGCACAGCCAGCCTCAACAGGACCCGGGGTTCCCATAAAGGACTGAGCTTCAGGGAGGTGAACACACAGTCTGGCAGGGTGCCCAGGAGCAGGGCCAAGCAGGGAGGGGCCTCAAACCAGGACGCCTGGGTCCTAGGCCTGCTCTTATCATGCTGCATACTACCCTGGGCAAGTCACTTGACCCCTCTGGGTGGGTGGCGATGACATGCCTGCCCTGCCTCCATCCCAGTGGAGCTGTGAGCTTCACGTGCATGCTTACTGTGTCAAGGGACTCTCCAGAACAGGAAGAGCTTGGTAATGTTGGAGACTGAGTATCAGAAGTAACAGAAAGGTGTGTTTCCCTTTTAGAGCAAAATATGTTGCCTTCACAAAATCATTTCTTCCTGAGCTGGGTGGATCACTGCGGTCTGTGAACGAATCACGGCCCCCCGGTCTGCCTCGTGCTGCCCAGCACAGGGCTAGCCTAGGCTCACAGGCACGCTGGGTCCCAGGACTTGGACACCACAGACCAGGAGTTCTACGAAGAGTACTGTCTTCCAGGCCTATGGCTCTGCTTGGGGGGCAGCAGTAAAGTTTTGAGCCATGGAATTCTGCTCCTCCGGCGTGGAACCAAATGGACCAGGGATGGCCACACAGCCGTGGATCATGTCACTACACCCCAGTGCCCCAGGATGGGCAGGGCCGCTCAGGTCGCTGCTGGATCTAAGGTGGGACACTTCGGTGACCACAGCAAAGAGTGGAGTGGGCAGGAATGCCAGCAAGAGCTGCCAGGAGACAGAGGCAAGACGAAGCTCTGTGCCATCAGAGGGAGTAGAAAGTGATGCGGGAAAGATGGGACATGCAGCTGGAAAGGGAGACGGGGAGAGAGAGAGAGAGAGAGAAGGAGAAGGGGGATAAGAGCTGCTTGGGAGTGTAAGCCCTGGGAGTCCCTGCCGCCGTCTCTGAGGAGGCCCTGAAGCCTGAGCTACAAATGCTCCAGGTTAAGAAGGGCCAGGACTTGGGACGCCTGGGTGGCTCAGCGGTTGAGCGTCTGCCTTTGGCTCAGGGTGTGATTCTGGGGTCCTGGGATCCAGTCCCGCATCAGGCTCCCTGTGGGGAGCCTGCTTCTCCCTCTGCGCCTCTGTCTGTCTCCCATGAATAAATAAATAAAATCTTTTTTTTAAAAAAAGAACAGGCCCTATACCAGAATTAAGCTGAAGGAAAGAGACAGAAGAAAGGACAGGCCCAGCGACTCTGGCTGTGGCCTGGCTGTGCATCCAGAACAGGCAGAAATAAATGCCTGAGAACAAAGGTGAACCCGGAGACCTCAGAAAGGCTCTTTCAGATGCAGCCAACCTGGGCGCAGTCCCCGAGAAAATGGGGCTGCCCTGGCAGGCCCCATATCCCACCTACTTCATTTCAGCTGAGCTGGGAAGCTTTTTTTTTTGTTTTTGTTTTTGTTTTTGTTTTTTTTGAGCTGGGAAGCTCTTGTAGCCGACTGTCCGAGAAGCCTCTGAACTGCCTCTGCACTGCCTACACCAGGGCGAAGGAGGGCGTGAGTGACAGCAGATTCTAAGAAATTCTATTTCTCATTGTCTTTCATTCTTTTAGCCTTCTGGCCAACAGGACTGACCTCACAGGCCAGGCAGAGGGCTGGAAGGCAGGCTGACACCGAGCTCTCATGAATGGAGACAGAGAAAGCAGGAGGCTCAGGGGCCAGGCTGGCTGCCTGGTGGGTAATTTCATGACCTGACAGGAGAGGTCAAGGTCCTGCGTCCTACACACACAGGACAAGTAGGTCATGGATTAGGGTCTCCACCAGGCTGGCAAGCAGCACTAGCAGTCTGTACAGAGCTCCGAATCCCCAGGCTGTGGACCCAGCAGAGGTTTTCCACTTTCCTAAGGGGGACTTGGGCATCTGCTGGTGTCACAGACTAGAAGTGGGATAACTCAGAGTCTAGGACCGCTAGGACTGGTTATTCACAATGGTCCCTCCTTGTGTGGGTCTGAGGTCCCGGCTGAAAAGACATACCGTGCAGGGAAGAAAACACCTGACTCCCTCCTGCCTCCCCACACATTTTGGGCCTTTCTCCCATCTATAGGTGACATGAGCTCCTTCCATCCCCCACACGTACAGCACTTTGCACTTTCTCAGTTTTCACATCCATCAGTCACTTTACCTTCACAACCCAAGAGGCAGGTAGGCCTGGAAAACCTCATTTCATAGATCAAGGCTCAGAGAGGTTGAAGGACTTGCCTAAGGTTGCCCAGAAGGAGCCTGTGATGAGATATTAGACCTTCTGATTCTAGATTCACTTCTTTCCATGCTCACTTGAGACATCACTTCTGTGTCAGCCCAAATCAAACAATGAGAAAGGAAATGGACAGTCCCCAAGCCCATTTCCCTACATCTCTGAGCTCACCTATCTTAGGAAAGGTGTCAGGACAACCTCCACACCCCAGCCGAGTTGTGGAGTGCCTGCAAGGCCCAGTCCTGGTGATAACCCGAAATTCCACTCACCTATAGGAAGCCCCAAGACATGGTCTGATGAGGGCAGCCCAAAACGGAACCTCCAGGTGTTGTGGCTGATTTGCTATAAAACAAAACAAAGCTGGCTCTGTCAGCTTTACAAAAGCCTTTCTGGGCAACTCAGATGCCTGGGAAAGGAGCTCTACTTCGTAGTCTCCCAGTACATACACACACACACACACACACACACACACACACACACACACACGCAGTGCGAGGCAAACTGGAGGGCATGAAAGGCCTGTCCCACTGCTCTGCCTTCCCAGCCAGCACATTCCCCACCACTCTTGACCTCTTCTCTCTCACAGGCCGACAGTGGAGCGGCTGGGCTGACTCCATTACCTCCTTCTCAATCAAGGGCAGCGGGTACTTGGCTTCAGAGTCCTGTAAGGTGATCTGTTTCCTCCTTGAGTTCATGTTCCTCAGGGCCAACAGGACCACTGTGACCCCAATGACAGTGATGGCAAGGAGCAAGGATGGGTCCTAGCCAGACACAATGTGAGCAGGGCACTTCAGGTCCTGGGCAGGACAGTGCTCAGGCACAGCAGCACCCTCCCCCAAGGGCACAGAAGAAGCTGGGCTGTGCCCAGAAAAAAAAAAAAACCAGACAGAGGGAAAGGTAATAAAACAGAATGCAGGGCGCCTGGTTGCCTCCAGACGGCTGGGCGCAGGTCATGATCTCAGGGTCCTGGGATCCAGCACGGCTCCCTGCTCAGCCTGCTTCTCCGCCGCCCCCCCCCCCATCCCCATGCACTGTCTTAAATAAATAAAATCTTAAAACAAAAGCAGAATGCAAGCTGAGCCCATGGTGGATCTGGAGGGTAAAGAGCAATCAGCAGCAAATCAGACAAGGCCAGGCCGAATTAATGTCACCAGGCCCTTCCTATTCATCTGTCTCCAATCTGGTATATCCAAGGGTGCAAGTGTGCAAGTCCTGGGAGTCCCCTCCTTGAGGTGATGGCATTCCTTTTTCTTTATTTCTTTTCTTTCTTTTCTTTTCTTCCTTCCTTCCTTTTTTTTTTTTTTTTTTTCTGAGAGAGAGGGAGATCGAGGTGGGGGACGGGAATGACAGGGAGAGAGAATTCTAAGCAGACCCCACTGCCCAGCACCTCAGTCTGACGTGGGGCTCTATCTCAGGACCCTGGGATCATGACTTGAGCCGAAATCAAGAGTGAGAAGCTTAACCCACTGAGCTACTCAGGCACCCCGGATGGCACTGCTTCTAACCCACAATCTAAAATGAATGTCCCAGCCCCCCAAGACAAAACTAATGAGGGGGATAGGCGCTGTGCCCTCCAGCAGGTGGTTGCTGCGGAGAGCTAGGTAGAGGATGGGGCTCACTACCCGCTACTCCCCCAACCAGGTTCGGGCGGGCTGGGGCTGGAGTGAGTACCTCCGACTTGGGGGTGCTCCAGTACCTTAGCGCCTCCGGACACACCAGCACCCTCCGGGGCGGCGAAGGAGGCCGGACGCTCACCTGCAGCCCCTCTGGCGGGCTCTCGGCCCCGCCCCGCCTCCGGCCCTGCCCCGGCCCCGCCCCGGCCCCGCACCCCCAGCCGGCCCTGCTGGGACCCGAGGAGGACCGCGGCGCCCGGCTCCCCGCCCCCGCCCCGCCCCGCCGGCCCTCGCCCTCGCCCTCGCCCTCGCCCGCCAGGCCCGCCCGGGGCCCCGTCGGACTTCCGCGGCCTCGCCCCGCCGCGCCCCGGGCACCCACCCGGATGGAGACGCCGAACAGGTCGTAGTGCGGCCGGCTGCTGGGCCGCGGCGCGTCGGGGCCGAACGGGGCGCGCCCGCCGCTCCCCTGGCGGACCGGGAAGGCCTGGCCGACGCGCGGGCCGACGGCGGGGGAGGCGCTCGGCTGGCAACGCGCTCCCGGCCGCTCCCGGCCGCTCCCGCGCAACCCCCCGTGACCCCTCCTCGCGCCCCGCGCCCCGCACAGCCCCCGCCCCCCTCTGCGCACCCCCGTGACCCCTCCTCGCGCCCCGCGCCCCCCACAGCCCCCGCCCCCCTCTGCGCACCCCCGTGACCCCTCCTCGCGCCCCGCGCAGCCCCCGCCCCCCTCTGCACACCCCCGTGACCCCTCCTCGCGCCCCGCGCCCCCCACAGCCCCCGCCCCCTCTGCGGACCCCCCGTAACCCCTCCTCGCGCCCTGCGCCCCACACAGCCCCCGCCCCCTCTGCGCACCCCCGTGACCCCTCCTCGCGCCCCGCGCCCCCCACAGCCCCCGCCCCTCTGCGCACCCCCGTAACCCCTCCTCGTGCTCCGCGCCCCGCACCGCCCCCGCCCCCTCCGCGCATCCCCGTAACCCCTCCTCGCGCCCCGCGCCCCGCACAGCCCCCGCCCCCTCTGCGCACCCCCGTAACCCTTCCTCGTGCCCCGCACCCCGCACAGCCCCCGCCCCCCTCTGCGCACCCCCGTGACCCCTCCTCGTGCCCCGCGCCCCGCACCGCCCCCGCCCCTTCTGCGCACCCCCCGTAACCCCTCCTCGTGCCCCGCGCCCCGCACCGCCCCCGCCCCCTCCGCGCATCCCCGTAACCCCTCCTCGCGCCCCGCGCAGCCCCCGCCCCCTCTGCGCACCCCCGTAACCCTTCCTCGTGCCCCGCGCCCCGCACCCCGCACAGCCCCCGCCCCCCTCTGCTCCCCCCCGTGACCCCTCCTCGTGCCCCGCGCCCCCCACAGCCCCCGTCCCCTCCGAGCATCCCCTGTAACCCCTCCGTGTACCCCCCGTGACCCCGCCCTGCGCCCCCGCACCGCGCACAGCACACACCCCGCCCCCCCCCCCGCCGGCCCCGCAGAGCTGAGCTCTCCGCACGCGCCCAGCGGCGTGACCAAGGGGGCCTGGGCGCCCGGTTCCTAGCGGCCGCCCCGGCGTGTGTTCGTGCCGTCTCCATCCTGCCCCCTCCCAGCGCTCCCTGAGCCGCCCGACCGAGAACTTCCTCTCTGCGCCGTGTCCGAGCTGTGCCCAGGTGGGAGAGAGGGAGAGGGGCGCCCAGTGGGAGGAAGGGGATGCTGGTGAAAGGAGCGGGCGTCCAGGCCGGCTCGGAGAGCACAGGGATGTATTCGACGCGCGTAGTGAGCTCCTCCGGGGGCCTGGCCCAGCGCTGGGTGCTTGCCCGACGGGTGTGGAGGAGTTAACTCCTGTTCAAAGCGCCCATCGATGTGTTCTCTACTGGAGAGAGAGAGGACAGTACCCAACACCAGATCCGCAGGAGGCTGAATGGCAGGCATAGACGGTTATGGGGGTTCATCGCAGCACGGGTCAGAACGCCGGTAAGCCCCTCCCCATGGGTACTCCCCGTGCTGGTGGGTAAATCCCTGCCTGCTGGACCTGATGGAAACAGAGAAGCCAAGAAATGGATTCCCGCCCCAGCCCCAGCCCCCAAACCCACGCCAGCACAGGCGCATACTTAGTGGACACCTCCCTATTATTTTAAGATATGTTCATTATTGACAATCTAATAAGTGTTCAGTGATGGCTTGTGAACCTAATAGCTGAGAAGTTTGAACATCCTTCATATGTGTATTTCCCATGGTGGTTTTTTTTTTTCCTGAAAAAAATACCTGCTCATGACTTTTGGCCGTTTTTCTCTTGGGTTGTCTTTCCTTACTAATTTTTAGGGGTCTTTTATATATCAGACACCACTTCTTTGTCAGTTATATCAACTACAAATATTTTCTCCTGGTATGCAACTTTCTCCCCTCCCTCCCTCCCTTCCTTCCTTTTTTTCCCTTCTTTCCCTCCTCCCTCCCCTTCTCTCTGTCTTTTGATGAATTGCAGGGTTTTTTTTTTCTTAAAAAGATTATTTATTTATGAGAGACATAGAGACATAGGCAGAGGGAGAAGCAGGCTCCCTGCAGGGAGCCCCATGCGGGACTCCATCCCAGGACCCCAGGATCAGGACCTGAGCCAAAGGCAGACGCTCAACCACTGAGCCACCCAGGTGCCCCTGAATTTGTAATTTCAATGTAGTCAAATGCATCAATCTCCAATCTTTTGCCTTTATGGTTAGTGCTTTGTGTGGCTTGTCTAGTCCTATGCAAGATCATAAAGATACTATTTTTTCTGAAGACTTAAAAGTTTTTCCTTTAACAGTTACGCCTCTCAACCCCCTGGAACTGATTTCTGTATATGATGCAAAGCAGGGATCCTACTTAATTTTTTCCATGTGGGTAATGTGTAGTGTCAGTAATATTTGTTGACTTACTCAGGCCTGGTCACTAACCTGCAATGCCACCCCTGTCATGTATCAGTTTTCATGTATGTCTGAGTCTGGTTCTGGTCTTCCTACTCCCTTTGATCTGGTGGCCCAACCCCTCTGCCAATACCATACTGCTCTAATTACAGTAGTTTATTAGGACTGTTTGTGTCTTTCACTCCTACATTCTTTGGGTCTCAGTTCAAATATCACTTCTCCCTTAGAGGTGCCTAATCCAATCCTCCAATTAAGTCGATGTACACATTATATTCTATTCATGCCTTTTAACTTCAGTTTGTAATTATACATCTTGAATATTTAATTGTTAAATGGTTGACTCTTGTGTTAGTCTAGAAGTCCCATTATGGCAGAGACCTTGTTTCTCCAGGGCTGAGCACAATTGACTGTCACACGGATAACATTTAATAAATAAATAATGAATGAATGAATGAATGAATGAATGCCTCTCTGTGCTGCAACATTTAGCACATTGCCCGGCACATGGGAGATGCTCCTGGAGAAGGAGCAAGAACAGTCCTTTCCATCAGTGCCCCTTTTTTGCTTAATTTGTTTCCATAAGACATGTCAGCGGATGACATACTCTGTATCTTCCCTGTTTGCTTACTCTTTCCCTCTACTACAGTGTAAGCTCCAGGAGGACAGGACTTGCTGTGTCTGGTTTAGGTCCTGTTGTTTCCCAAGCCTCCGATCAGTGCCTGGCAATTGGTAGGGGCTCGATAAACATTTATAGAATGAATGAGTGAATGAAGAATGAACTTAATTTTCTCCCTCCGATTCAATCAATTGTTCTTTATTTTTGGCTGTAGAATCGTTGGGCACGTCAGTTTTTCCTGTGGCTCTCTTAGTGGTTGCCTCTACCCTCCATTCCCCCTACTTATTTTCCCTCCGTGTTACCGGAGAGGCAGCAGACATCCCCCTTGGTTAACCTTTGGAGCAGGATAAAAGGCAGGCGTTTTTCTGGGCTCTTGGAATTCCAAGAAGGCAGTGCTTCCCCTCTCTCCTTGGCACCCCTGCACACTCTGGCTGCGCCCCTTGCATGCCCATGTTCCGCCTGGTTTGGCTCATCTTTTACTACTTTGCTGAAACAGACTGTGAGCACATGTCTCGCTGTCTCAATCTGCAGCTTGGTAATAGGGCCTGGCAAAGAGGCGGTGCTCAGAGAGTGCTGAAAAAAAGAATGAATGTCTGTTGTCACTGTTTTAGGATGTAGGAGACTGACCCACAAGACAGCTTCTCCAGTGGGGGGACCAGCCACCTTCACTACTGAGATTCCCCCAGGGCCACGTCGAAGCTCCAGGAGCCTTTGCTCTCTAAACAATATCCAGGCTGTTGTGGGCTTTTCATTAGCTTTTTGACCTTGACAATGATTTCTTTCCATTTTGCCCCTGAACAGATGACCACCTAGTAAGTCTACACTGTGGTAGATTGGATAATGCCCTTCCCCAAACATGCCCACATGTTTGTGGATGTGGGCAGAACTTGTGGATGCTGCCTTCTATGGCAAAAGGGGCTCTGTTGCTGTAACTTCAAGATCTCAAGATGAGACTATCCTGGATTGTCCGATGGGCAGGATGTGATCGCAATATTCCTTTTAAGAGGGACGCAGCAGGAGACAAGAAGGCAATGTGATGCCAGAAGCAGCCCTTGAATGACACATTTTGAAGATGGAGGGAGGGTCTCCAAACCAAGAGATGCAGGTGGCCACTGGAAGTGGAAAAAAGCAAGAGAAAGCATTCCTCCTGAGAGCCTTTGCAAGGGACCCGCCCTGCTGATACCCTGACTTTAACCCAGTGGAACTGATTTTATATTCCCGGCTTCCAAAACCATAAGAGGATGATGCATTTGTGCTGTTTAAAGTCAGCAAAGTTGTGGTAATTCATTATAGCAGCGATGGTAAACTAATACACTCAATGAACTATTATTTTTGTCTCATAGGGCTTGTTTGTTTATACTTGGATTTCTTCCAGAAACAGATTTCCCGTGATTTGAATCAGAAAAGCCAGGAAGTGCTCCTCCGCTCTGGTGCCAATGCTCTTGCTGCTCCGGCTGTGTGACTCCCTTCTGCTGTGAACCACCTTCCTCAGCAACCTCCTGCTCCTGGCCATGTCTTCAGCTTGTTTTCCTCGCCAGGCCACAAGAGCGGCCCACTTACTCCATCCCTTCCTCCTCACCCTGTCGCTGGCTTGGGGTGACATTGTGCTTTGTGCATTGTGTGAAAATGTCATCCTGAACAAAGGGTCTCAGCAGAAAAATCCCCGTTGACTGGGGTGAGCTTTAGGAGAGAACACTGATGAAACACCTAACCCGCTCCAAACAGCTGATGCCATGAATGTAAAACATTGCTTGAATTGGAGTTTCCTTGGTTTTCCTCTTCAAGGATTTTATTTATTTATTTTTAATAAATTAATTTTTATTGGTGTTCAATTTACCAACATACAGAATAACACCCAGTGCTCATCGCGTCAAGTGTCCCCCTCAGTGCCCCTCACCCATTCACCCCCACCCCCCGCCCTCCTCCCCTTCCACCACCCCTAGTTCGTTTCCCAGAGTTAGGAGTCTTTATGTTCTGTCTCCGTTTCTGATATTTCCCACACATTTCTTCTCCCTTCCCTTATATTCCCTTTCACTATTATTCATATTCCCCAAATGAATGAGAACATACACTGTTTGTCCTTCTCCGATTGACTTAC